GGTCACTTTCTCGGGCCATAATAGTAACCAGACAACTCATCTAATGATCCACACTTCTTGTAATTGGGAGGAGACTGAAATTTGGGCTTCCAAGCCACCTATTTTCTTACTTTCAAGTTCCTGTATTATTTCTACTTATTAATATGAAACAATATAGCTCCTTTTATAAAAAAAAATAGCTAAGCTTTTTCAAAAACGGGCTCATCTTAGGAACAGGTTACGGTGATTACTATAAAATAGTAATTATCGTGGTTACTAAGGTAAATTGGGTATGACAAAAAAACTTATCAATTACCTTTTTTAATAACTTACATTTTAAGAAATTACAAAAATATATTAATTACAATTTTCTCTCTTTCTCCCACTTCCACGATCTCCAGCCAGATCTCTCTCTTTTTTTTTCTCAATCTTTTCCTTCTCCGTTCAATCGAAAATAATAACAATGTAAAAATAAAACAAGAATCAATATCAATCCTTCAGACAGACAACCACTACAATTTTTGGAAAAAAACCAATACAAATAAATCAATACCAATCCGTCAAACAACCACTACCATTTCGGAAAACACCAATACCATTGCAGAAATAAATCAATACCACTTTGAAAAGCACCAATACCATTGTAGAAGGAAGCTGAGAAGTTTTCTCTAGCCCTTCCATCAGGTAGTCGACGGCCGGGAAGGGGATTATGGAGAGGGAAATGTTTTGTTTGGCCGGCCGGAGGGATGCAGTCGGAGATGAATTTAGCATTGCCGCGATAGAGAATCATGTTCAAATAGGGTTTGGGGAGAATATATGGAAATCCATTTTTTTTTGGTAAAAAGACGGATGCAGAGGCATCCCAGCTTAGATTAAAATACCCCGCTCTTGGGCGGTTTCTCTAACATCGTACAAAAGCCAGTGTCCGAGCTCAGGGTCGCACACATCGAATGGATGTGTGCCAAAATTAACACAATAACCCTTGGACGCTAAGAAAGTCACCAGCAAAGTTTGCTTCTCTATAAATATGACAGATATTCACTTCCCATCTCCTACTTAGGAGTTCACCAATCTGTTGAGCAATCAAACCATGGTTATGGTCATTGTCAGCCCAGTTCTTAATGATGTTGATTGCTGTTAAAGAGTCCAAGTTAAGTTGTATCTTCTTGAAGCCTCTTCGCCAAGCAATCCTTAGCCCTTCCAAAGCCTCTCTGAGTTCGGCTCTTGTGATTGAGCATGACCCAAGGTTGGCAACGAAAGCGTCAGAGCATCTTCCCAAATGGTCTCTGAGGAGCCCCCCTGCTGCAGCGTTGCCAGTTGATGCCATGAAGCTTCCATCACTTTGCACTTGAACCCATCCCTCCTTTGGTGGCTTCCATGAGATGAAGTTGACCTCCCTTGTTGGAACCCCCGAGTTGCAGATTTTCATTGCATTAATGACCGCAAATCTGTGAATGTTAAAATTGGCTTCAATTCTTTGAATAAGACCTGCTTCAGAGTACACAAGGCCATCCATAGCCTCCTCATTTCTCTCCTTCCATATATTCTAGCAAATGATACCAAACTCGGTACCCCTCTCGTTATCATGAAGGTTACTATGGAGCCAATCTCTGAAATCGGCAGTGGAACTCTTCACAGCAAGGAAATTGCTAAAGTGGGTCCAGACACCACTTGTTTTGCTGCAGGTCCTGATAATATGCTCAGTGGTTTCCTCCAGGTCTTTGCATAAGGGGCAACTGCTGTTTGCTGTAAGTCCCCTCTTCCACCTTTCCTTGTTGGTCAGCAGGCGGTTGTGGGATGCCAACCACAGGAAATGCTTCACTCTACTTGGGCCTTTCCATTTCCAAAGCCCTTTCCACTTGTCGTTGCTTTCACCATCCAGTGCATTTGAGGCAAGCTTGTAAGCTAATTTAAGCCGAAATCTTCCATCGTGCTCAATCCCCCATAGAGATTTGTCTTCTCCAGAGCCAGCAACAGGTGGTTCATCACCAGCAATGAGGGTCAGAATCTCTTGTGGAAGGAGGTTGTGGAGGCGGTTCCAGTCCCAATCCCCTGAAGGTGTAGTTCAGCTGGCCACCGAAGAGACAAGGTCTTCCTCGCTGATACTTCTCAAAAGAAAGTCTTCAAGAATGAGCCCATTCTCCAGCCAAGGGTGGATCCAGAAACCTGTACTCTTGCCGTCTCTGATGCTCCAGACCATTGCAGACTTCATAAGAGGCATTGCTCTCAGCACAGCTCTCCAAAGAGGTGAGTGGTTGGTCTTCTTCATCGATGTGATAGCGCCCTCTTGGTGCTTGAAGTATTTTCCTTGAAGTACCTTCACCCAAAGAGCATTCTCATTGTTAAAAATCTGACAAGCAATCTTTATCATGTAAGCCATATTAAGCTCCCTAGCAGATCTGAGTCCTAGACCACCCTGATCTTTTGGTTTGCAAACAGTGTCCCATCCCACCAAGTGAACTTTCCTCTTCCCTTCCTGAGATCCCCAAACAAACCATCTAATCTTCCTATCAATTGCATCACAAACAGAGACAGGGAGAATAGAAGTTTGCATAGCATAAATAGGGATAGAATTGAGCACAGATAAAGCTAGAGTTACCCTTCCCGCAAGGGAGAGGGTTTTTGCCTTCCAGGCTGTGAGCTTGTTTTCAATCTTGTCAAGGATATATCTATAGGTATTCTTGTTAATCCTACTATGCAAAACAGGTACCCCTAGATATTTTCCAAGATAAGTTGTTGATTGAATACCAAGCTTTTGGCAAATCCTACTCCTACTCTCTTTGCTAGTGTTCTTAGAAAAGAACACTCTCGATTTCTCTTTGCTGATGAGTTCCCTCGAGGCATTACAGAATAACTCTAGGCATTCAGTCACATATTCCGCTTGCTTGAGGGTCGCATCAGCAACGAGAACGAGATCATCCGCAAAGAAAAGATGGGAAAGAAGAGGGCCATTCACAGACAGTTGTAAGGGTTTCCATTTTCCAACGTTAACATAGATATTAATGCAATGACTCAATCTCTCAATGCAAAGTGTAAAGAGGTAAGGGGAGAGAGGATATCCCTGCCGGAGACCTCTGCTCGGTGTGAAGCTCTCAGTTTCCTCTCCGTTCCACAACACTTGCATTGAGGTTGTGGTGACACACTTCATAATAATGTCCACACATCCTGCTGGCAGTCTCGTACTTTGCAAAGTTTCTTCCAGGAATCTCCAGTCAATCCTGTCGTAAGCCTTTGCAAGGTCGATCTTGAGCAGCATACTTCCTTTCTTGCTAGTTCGCTTCATCATTGAGTGTACCATCTCCTGCAAAATGATGATGTTGTCAGTTATATGTCTTTTAGGTACAAAACTTGTTTGATTTGGATTCACAAGGCAGGGCATTAAGTTCTTTAGCCTCTCGGCCAAACACTTCGCCACCACTTTGTACCCAACGTTGCATAAGCTTATAGGATGAAATTGGGCCATGGAAGAAGGAGAATCAGTCTTTGGGATCAGGACAAGAAGGGTTCCGTTCATGGTCCTGATGTTCTCCGGGTTCGAGAAGCATGAGGAGACGAAACTGACAAGGTCAGCTCCCACAAGCTTCCAGCACTTCTGGTAAAAAATGGCGTGGAAGCCATCTTTGCCCGGAGCTTTGAGGCCATTCATATTGCTAACAATTGACTTGATCTCTTCTGGGGTCGGTCTTTCTGCGATTCTGGCAGCTCTATTCCCATCGATTTCAGGGAACACCGCAGGGATAGAGGGCCACTGGTCTCTCTCTTCTCTGGTGTAGAGCTGCACGTAGAAGTCCCTTGACATGATTTGGAGAACCTCTGGGTCGGTAATCCATTCACCAATCTCATCTTTAAGCCCGACAATTATGTTTCTTTTCCTCCTACTCAATGTGCTATTGTAAAAAATCTGGTATTGCAGTCTCCTTGAACCCAAAAGTCGGCCCTTGATTTATGTCTCCACAACACTTCCTCTTGCCATAAAGTGTGTTCGAGTTCCACTCTCGCCTGACGCTCCTGTGCGAGAGATCTCCCTGTTTGGTTCCTCTCGTTGAACAGTTCCAGAGACTGAAGCTTGTTCATCAGCTTTTTCTTCCTTCTGAAGATGTTACCAAAGACTTCCTTGTTCCAAGCTTGCAGCTTTGATGACAAATCCTGCAGAGAGGGAGGAAAGAAGTCACCAGTTTTCCAGTTGGCAGAAACAAAAGGGAAAAAATCATTATGAGTAAGCCAAGGGGCAAGGAAATGGAAGCGCCTCACCAAGTTTTGATTGTGAGGCTGGCTCGCAGTGCTTGCGAGAATTGGACGATGGTCAGATTTTAACCTCGTCAGGTGCCAAGTAATAGAATCCGGAAACTGCTGCTGCCATTCAATATTACAGATACTTCTATCCAAGCTTTCTTTGATTCTGGAGGAGCTGGTGAACCATGTGAAACGCGGTCCCGAGAACCCCAAATCAATAAGACCACAGTCTTCCATGCATTTGTTGTAAGCTCTTGTATTAGAGTAGCTGAAAGGTGCCCCCCCCCCCCCCCTTGTTTCTCAGAAGACATGGTAATGGAGTTGAAGTCTACTGTTAAAAGCCAAGGTATGGAGGTTTTCCTGCCAAAACGTCTTATTTCCTTCCAGAGATCTTCCCTCTCATGATCCTTCGGGCTTGCATAGATGGCACAGAAATGGCACAGGACATGGCTTCCATTCCAGCATTTGAAATGGACAAATTGCTTGTGCTTCTCCACCCTCTCAAGCCTCAACTGTGTGTTGTCCCAAAGAACCCAAATGCCTCCACTGAAACCCTCTGCATCTGAAATTTCCCATTTGTCATACCCCAGCTTCTCAACTACTTCAAGTGCATCAGCTCCACTAATTCTAGTCTCCAAAATACACACAACATTAGGTTTGTGTAGACTTCTATATAATTTGAATGTAGAAAGAAAGTTGGGATGCTTGGCACCCCTACAATTCCAGGAGAAAGCTTTAATCATTGGAAAAGATTAAGAGATATCCCCTGCCCAATCATAAGGTAAAAGCTACTCATTGTCGATGGCCATCGCCGTCGCTTCTTCCCTCTTCTCACTCTTGGCTGAACCAGTTGTGAGTTGCTTAGCATTTTCAGGCTTTGAAGCTACCTTCCCTAGACTCAAGTTGAACTCAAGCTTCCTGGGTTGGTTGATCCCACTTTCGGGGGGCTCTCTCAAATTGGTGTTGGTATCAAAATCTCCCTTACACGCAATCTGCTCTATCATTTTTTGTTTGTGACCTGCAACTGCGTTCTCAGGGGTGCCTCTAACACTGCCTTGGGAGGAGATGGGAGAGACCATTTGTGTAGCTCCTTGCTGCTTACCTTGCTTCGACAGCTGGGACTCTCCTCCTTTCTTGCTGCTTCTAGCAGGTGGTGTGAGGGAGGTGGAGGGCGAGGTCTTAACATGGGGAATCTGCTTGCCTCTTTGGTTGCTGGATTCTGGTGTTGCTTTCTGATTAACCTTCCTGTTGTTATCTTTCTGTTTTTTATCCTGTGGCTTTTCTCCAGTCTTTTCCAGATTTTCGGCAGCATGCTTGCCTCCCATGTTCTTGTCTTTCCTTGGTTCTTTCTTGTTTTGCTTGTCATTAGGATTTTCAGTTGGGTCGACTTTCTCTGTTTGCCCAGAAATCACCGCCTGATCTGTGTCTGCTTTCTCCTGATTCTCTTCCTCAATGAGTATATCATCTATTGCCCCACTTTCAACCTCTTCCAACACCTCAAATCGAGACCTCATAGTCTTTGTCTGTTGTTCTTCCTTCCTATCTGTACCCTCTCTTGCACCTTTGTAAACTGGTTGCTTCCTTCTTTTTGTTCTTGTGGCAAGCATCCAAGGTCCGAATTCTTCAACAATTTCGGGTCTAACCATTTGGCTAACGATAGTCATCTGAGTTTCCTTAACCTTTTCCTCCGTCGAAGCATTCTTCAAGGGGCAAGAGTCCACTGTATGACTATAATGGCCACAATCGAAGCAAACAATATGGAGCCCTTCATATTCCACTCGTCGAACCCTCCTTTTCAGCCAATATTTAGATACTAGCCTTTTCCTCAGATCGATTTCAACACAAATTCTAGCATAGTTTCCTCTGAACCCATTAGCAGTATTATAGTCAATCGTCTCCACCCTGCCCAACTTGTTTCCTATATCGTTGATAGGGAAAAAGCGTATATGCCAATTCCTATCTTGTAGTAATCCGGAAAGTCCGGGTATCGTCTCTCAGGGACTGGTACAACCTTAAGTTCTATCAATTTTATTGAGCAAACTATATGTGAAAATGTTTAATGAGATGAAACTATGATCTAATAGCAAAGTAATTAAACAAAACAAGCAAATTAAAGTGTCGGGTTTAAATCAATGGGAGAAAGCTCTGGGAGAAACACCAGGATTCACTACCTATCCTATCCAGATTAATTCACATATTCCAATCAGTTCAATCCAACTCTCTACAGCCAGGATATCACGAATGTGCTAGCTATCCCTGTCGGGAATTACTACGTACTAAATAATCAATTCAAATCCTACTGTCGTAGCTCAATGAATTAACTATATAGTCTGAAGATCGATATCCTATTTAAGACCGCATAGCACCTTATTTAATCCACTGTCGCTTCGATAAGTTACTATGTCACATGAAATAGGTTCAGTTATTAGGGTTTCACTGTCGCTAATAACCTAATCAACTACGATTCATTGTATTGGTGGCCAGTCAACACAAAGCATTAAGTAATTTCATGCAATAGAGATTGGAAGAAAAGAATCATGAATCAATCCATCAAATCAAGAAATAGCTACATCCTATGGTGTTTCCCCCAGAAATTGGGGTTTAGTTCATGATGAAATTGAGATAAAACATTAGGGTTTTGTTCATCATATTCTAAATCAACAAATAACAACTAATTCGGTTCAGAAAATCCAACCAACTAATCGCTCTCGTTGAACTCAGCTCAAGCCTTGGATGAGTCGATCGTCAAATTCCCAATCGCCTGTTGTTTTTCTGCTGCCTTGCGCTGCGTCTCCTTTCTATTCTTCCTCCAAAAGAACTCGCCCCTCAACTAAAATAAAACTTCCGCCAAAAATAATTCCTTTTTTTTCTCCAATAATTGCCTCCCGCCTCCCTTTAATTCCTCTTTGCCAAAGAATAATCCGCCCCAAAACAAAAGTCTCCTTTTGCCCAGAAATTGTGTCTCCCTCTTCATTCTCTTCCCTTCTTCCGTCCAAAAAACCCCCTGGCCCGTCCAAAAGAGCCTGCCGACCTCCTCAAATAAATTGCCTCCTCCCAATTCCTTTCGTCCTTTTCCTTTTTGTTTTTGTCCCGGCCCAACTTCCAAGTCCCGCTTCAATTAAATTGCCTCCGTCCAATTTGCCTCTGTCCGCTCCTCTTCATTCTTTTAATTCCGCCAGCAAAAGGAGAAAGAAGCAGTCCATGGGCCTCGGCCCATTTCTCTTGTTGGCCTCCTATTTTCCTTTTCAGTCCAGCCGGCCCAAAAGCCTCACTCCTTTTTCTTGCTTTCTCCACCTGTATCATATCAAACTCATGACACTAGGCAGTAATGGTTTTTCAACCATTTCCGGGTTAGCGAGCCCTAAAATAGCACCAATTGGCTAAAACATACCATGAATAATCACATAAAGTCAAGAATCCGATATATTAAGGCCGAATATCACAACCCCACACTCAATTGTTTCTTGTCCCTAAGCAACGAATCAAAAGACACAAACACATAACTAACCATAACAATGACACACCACAGACTCACTAATCAAACACTCAAAGCAAAACACAAAATTTCCTTGTACTCTTGTTGTAATCAGTAGTTTCTTTCTCAATGGACAAGTTGTACTCTAATGGTCATACCTTTCACCCCACACTCAAGGTCTTTGCAACCCTTAACCATTGACTGACTCAAATCCATCAAAAACTCAAATAGCAACACTCAATTCAGGTCGTCAGTAGCGGGTGATTAACAGCTTATGGTGCAACAGTTATTAGGAGAATCTAACCACATCAGTGAGGTGCATATCTCGTGAGGACAATCTGGCTTACTCACACCAATCATAAGCAATTAACAAAGCAGGAGTCTAAAAAACTAATGGGGGAAGCCTTTCGCAAACATGATTTTAACTTTAAGCACATCACTACCTTTTATGACAAGGAGAGGCTTTCTCTCTTTCTGCTTTTGCTTGCCGAGAGGTCGTATTTAGTACAAGTGGGATTTGTTTCTTACTACCGGTGACCGAGCAAGAGCAATTTCTGCTTCTTAGCACTCGCATAAGGGCTTCTTTTAACTCCTTATCCTCGGTCTGTGTGGAGGGTCATTGCATCCTCAAATGGCACTTCACTCAACTGGGGATCGTACTTGATAAGCAACATCGTACGGTCGCGAACCGATTCTCAATTGAATCTTTCCTAATCCCCATGTGCAATGAGTGATTGCCTCACACGATTCTGGCATTTTTACCCACACTTTAATTGTTATGGCAACTTTCTTATATTTTACTTGTCAGGTAGTGTTTTCTTTTATGAAGATACAGTTCACCCCATAATAAAACCATCAAAACAGAGAGACTCGTTGCCAAATCAAAAGCTCACAATTGATGCAAGTAAACACGGTATCCAAACATGTCGAGTGGTCAGTGTTCTCCACCTAACTACTTCACCAAAAGTCGTTACACTATCCTCACAAAATAGAGTGTTGCTAAAAGAGTTTGCTCATTCAAAGCACATCAAGTCAGTCAAAACATTCAAGCTCATTGTGAAGAACTATGCAATTCAACACTAGTGGGGTGATTTCGATGATTTCATTCAATCACAAACTCATATCACACGCATCACAGTCATTTACATCATATTACCACAATAGTACAAGGTTTTGTTTTTATTTTTTTTCTGATTTTTAGGTGTTTTTTAGCCATTAGATTAACACAGGCAGCCTGCTTTTTACACAGGCAAACTACATGCAGTTTGGCTGTGTTCAACCTAATGGAAATTTTTTTTTTTTTGACACAAGACGAGACACTGTGAACAACTACGACTCAACATAAAACACGACAAGAACACATACTATCCACCCCACACTCAGGATGGACATTGTCCACAATGTCTACAACTACACACGACACACCAATAGGTTCACCTAACTAACAGTATTACAGACCATAATCAGAAGTATTCACAAAGAAAAGAAGAAAAGAAAAGAAAAAAGAACCTCGGGACAAGCTCCTATGAAGGAGGGGTCGATGCAGAAGTGCCGAGATGCTCATCTAGACGCCGGTTTAGCTCCTGGATCTTCTTATCTTTCTCTGCGTCTCTGGCTTCTAGGATAGCTATTCTGGCTCTGAGCTCATCTGCAGATGATGGTGAAGCTGGTACAACTGGTGGAGTATCTTCGGAATGCGGAACTGGAGGATGTGACTGCTGGCCCTGGCTGACACTCGAGTCCGAGTGCCTCGCTGCTGTGGGTGTAGAAGCTGGAGCTGTGGTCGGAGTGGCTACTGATGGTGCGGCAGATGATGCCAAAGCAGAAGTTGCTCTAGAAGCCCTTGCTTCCCTTTTCCGATTGACCTTGGTCTCCCACTCCTTGTATTTGGCGACAGATAGATACTCTCCACGAGATCCTACTTTCCTCAGAAAACCCAATTTGCCTAATGCTGCTTCCCCAAGCAGAGTCGAGCCATCACTGATCTCTTAACCCGTAGGGTTCTCCGGGAACCCCCAGTAAGCTCGAGCTAATGCAGTAATGATTCCCCCACACATAATTGCTCCGCAAGTCTTCAGTGCATCATTTTCAAGCATCTTACCCACCATGTACCCAACACACAATGGTGTTCCAGGAACGAAACTGTGAATGTACCTGAGATCGGTGGTGTAGACACCACTGTCATTGGATCCCTTTCCCAAGATAGTGCGAGCCAGGTAGTCATGTACTAGTGGGATCACCGGGTCTCTGATCGATGCTCTCCTCGAAGAAGTAGGATTGAATTCCTTTCCATCTGTCACAATTGTCGTCCAAAACTCACTCAAGTCCTGCTTTTCATCAGGAATTGCATCTGCTGGACCATCGAAGAGAAGTGCTCGGTTTACTTGGCTCAAAGAGAGGGACTTGATTTTCCCGGCCAAAGTACTCTAAAGCTTGCTCTCAACCCCATTATCCTCGAAGTTGTATGTGGCCAAGAATGCTCTGGTGAGATGTGGATAGGTGGGGAAGTGCAGCTCCGGAAATCATGCCCAATTCATCCGGCGGAAGTATGTCATCACCTCCTCAGCCCGCTCGGTCTTCTGCAATGCTGGATAGTCCATGAACTGAGAAGGGGTGACCGCTCGTTTCATCAGATCGGCATATTCTTCCTTATGTTTCTGCAGCTGGACAGGTTGACCGAACGTCTTAGAGATGTCCTTTGGAGGAGGAGTACCAGCCTTCTTCTTGCTTGCACTTAGACTAGTACGACGTGGTGTCGTGGATGGTGCAGGTGCTGAAGAAGAAGTCATCTGTGATCGTGAAGATGAGCTCGATTGCTGGAGACGACTCCTCTTCGCTGTCCTGCTCTCCGGTGATACAACTGGTGTTGAATCAGGGAGTGGAGATTCTTCAGTAGGCATTTGAGCAGGCTGCTGTGGTGGAGATGGAGTTGGAGAAGTCATCTCAAAGGTCCGGGACCGCATCATGGGTCCAACCTGGCCGGTGATCACCCTGTGAAATCGAGCGGGCATGTTGACCGCTTGAAGTTGTGGAGGAACT